ACCGTTAGTGTGCGACACACACAGTAAAATAAGCGATGAGTAGGTATGTTCGAATTTTACAGATATTGATTTAAAATTTTTTAAACATTTCGTACAAGAAGATACTCTATCGTTGATAGCGGCCACACCTGAACTTATTTCTTCTTATCAAAGTATGTAAGTACTCACAAAGTACATACCTACATGTTCCCAATAAATTTTCACACGAAAACGTGTGCTACATGATTCTAGTTGAAATGATAACATAAATAATACCGTGGCTTTAACATTAACACAAAACACGAATGTAAATTGCTTGTAAGGACTCTAAAGAGTTTTATCCGAAAAAAAAAAATTGTGAAAATATACGAAACTTCTTATACTCGTAATAATGACTCAGTAAACATTTAATATCTGAATATATTGAGTCACTTAAATTTCGTGCTTAGAATCAAGTAATCGACTGTGTTTATATATATTTTTTATTATTATTTTTGACGATGTTAACTTCCTAGCAAAGGATGAATCGGCCTTTTAGTGCATCACATGTGAAAACCAGTAATTAGGTCGTTCTATGATCTTTGTAGCAAGGCTTGGGGGAGGCCTATATCTAGCAGTGGACGTCTGTGGGCTCATAGAAAAAAAAAATGATTTAATTCTTAATCTAAGCATTTTATCCAATGCATCATCTTTATATGGGGCTCTCACTGTCAATTTCAGCAGCCAATTCTATCCGACGATAGGCTATGTAACTACCGGATCTTTAACGGGGAATTAGGTTTTGATCCCAGAGAAGGAGTCTGAGAAGCGGCTATCATATCCTAAAAGGCAGCAGGTCTTAAGTACGTGACACAAGACCATACCGTGTTTTCAGTGTTAATCCTGAAGATATTAATCATAAAAATCGATCAATTTAGTTAAATTATTGTTTTGTCATCGGTCCTTAATCAGGTATAGTCAAGTTTCAAATCAATTTGACGTTTTGAAGGGGGTGAAAATCGCGCTCAAAAATTCCGTTATAGATATACACCAAGCAAAGCAGCTAAGCATCTCTTGTGAGTCCGCGCGGGTAGGTACCACCGCCTTGCCTATTTCTGCCGTGAAGCAGTAATGCGTTTCGGTTTGAAGGGTGGGGCAGCCGTTGTAACTATACTGAGATCTTAGAACTTATATCTCAAGGTGGGTGGCGCATTTACGTTGTAGATGTCCATGGGCTCCAGTAACCACTTAACACCAGGTGGGCTGTGAGCTCGTCCATCCATCTAAGCAATAAAAAAAAAAGTATACTAAAAATGTAGGTAATTGAATAATTTAACTGTTGCACGCAGCGATGATCGTTTTCCATGACCCGCATAGGCTTCAACAGCTACGTAATGAGTTGACATAGATAGGGTCAAAATTGTATTCAAGAATGCGTTGTTCTATCGTATCCAGACATTTTACACGTGAATACGTAACCGCAATTTTTTTTATTTATTGCTTAAATGGATGGACGAGCCCACCTGGTGTTAACCACTAGAGCCTATAGACATCTATAACGTAAATGCGCTACCAACTTTGACTCAGTATAGTTACAACGGCTGCTCCACTCCTCAATCCGAAACGCATTACTGCCTCACGATTGAAATAGGCAGGGCGGTAGTGCGTACCCGTGCGGACTCAAGAGGTCCTACCACCAGTAAAATGCGTTATTACATAGGTAATACGGAGGTGCAAAGTGATCAATTAAGTTAACTTTTTTATTATTATTGTAACGACAGCCAGAAGAACGTAGCACACAGATGATTGTAGGTAATTATTGTATGCGTTATCTGGACGGCATATTGGGCCTACCTTCAGGCATTTCCTTTTCTTTTTCTTATTTTTATTGCCACCATAGACACTAGAGCATACGATGTACCTCATGGTGAATGGTTACCATAGCTCATGGACGTCAGCGATGCCAGGGGCACAGCCAAGCCGCTGCCTTCCAGTGAGTATTCTCCGCGAGCCTCAAGCTGCTTTCAGACTACGCCTTATTATAATAGCATCTATACTAATATTATAAAGCTGAAGAGTTTGTTTGTTTAAACGCGCTAATCTCAGGAACTACTGGTCCGATTTGAAAAATTCTTTCAGTGTTAGATAGCCAATTTATAGAGGAAGGCTGTAGGCTATATAACATCACGCTAAGACTAATACAAGCGGAGCACCAATAAAGAATGTTTCAAAATCGGGTTTTTTCCCCTTTTCAGAGCTTCCGTTGCGTGCGCTGCAGAAACGGTTAAAGTTTTGCTAAAATTATGTATGACAGAATTGTTCTCCTTTAAAATATCTAAAAAAAAAGTCTGCAACAGCATATGTTAAGGTTGGCTCACTATAACGTTTTATAAGCTAACCAAATTTGTTCTAAAATAAGGCAAAATTTGTGAACTATTACACGCGGACGAAGTCGCGGGTAAAGCCTAGTATAGTATATAGCTTATAGCACAACAATATCGCGCACCATACATTGTTATGGACACGTTCATACTGTACTATATTATATATTATTGGCTTAGTGTACGGCTTACTTACTATGCTATACTATATGGCACTATAGTATAGCGTAGTCTGAACACAGCCTTAAGATGTGTCATAGCGCACAGTGAACATAGAGGAGGGTAGTTCATTCCAAAGTCGGATGGTATGTAGAAACAAAGATATCTTAAAACGTATCGTGGATGCAGTCAGCGATTCTAGGTAGTATTTTCTCTGAGCTTATGTTTATTTAATTTTTTATTTTACTAGCTGATCCGGCAGACTTCACAGTGCCTTAATCGATATATAAAAGACCTAAGCATTTGTATAAAATAGACTTCAAAAGAAAAACAAAATTGTTATTTTTATTTAATTCCGAGCATTTTCATATTTATCTACCTTTTAAACCTTCTCTGGACTTCCACAAATAATTCAAGACCAAAATTAGCCATATCGGCATACCACTGCATACCACTTCATCTTTTGTTCTTTTTTTCTGTTAATCATAGGTTCCATGTCTCACCTCATGTTAATTGATTATAGGAGACCATAGACCTTTTTTTTTTTAAACCATAGACCTAGACATGTAAATATTATATTGTGACACGAGGTTCAAGATTAAATTGTCTTGTATTATCATTTTAGTTCTGCTACATCTTGAATTTGATCTCGTCTAATTAGTGAGTCAAGGACAAGATGATGTAGTAAATGCTTTAGTTTGATTTGACACGAAGATTCCAGGTCGATTGCCTTTCTGAAGTTAATCCTGTATCGGCGAATAGCTGCACGAATCAGCAAGAAGGTTTTGTTTGAAAAAAGAAAGACTCCCGTCTTTATTGCTCTAAAAGAGCAATGAGTTTGTGGTCCGCCTGGTGTAATACGGTTACTGGAATTTCAAGATACCTCATTTACTACTACTACCATAACAACAACAACAACTATTACTACTACTAGATACTACTACTACCCCACTTGAGACGTGAGCCACAAAAGCGGGATTTCCAGCAGTTATTTCACTTTACAAAGGGCTTTATTCCATCGTGCAATGTTACTGCTGTATATCGTGGAAGACATTCGTGACTTCATGTTACGTAACAATTATATCTAGTTTTAATACCTACTTTATTTATTTAAATACGGTAAATTTTATTATTCATTTGCAGCACAAAACATATTTCGTTCAGACCGATTTCAAAACGAAATCGGTGGTTTTCGAAAATGAAAACTTCTCCACGTATGTCATACCAGATATACGATTGTGGTGATATGTTCTTATCTAGTTTTGTACACTTTATTTGTTTAAGGCGTACGATAAAGATAAGTGGTAGTCGGAGCGTTATCGCGGGCTGGCTATCGCGCGAAAATAGTATTTTCAGGAAGTTGCAATGCACTGAAACCAGCAAATTTTCAAAATAGATAGTACGAACGTAAATTATGAGCATTGTAATTTACTTTAATCGGTATCTAATTTGAACGCTTTTATAAAGTTCTCATTATTAATGTACTAACTAATAAACCATAGGAACTATGTTGAATGGAGTGATACTCCCACTGAGTTTCTCGCCAGATCTTCTCAGTGGGTCGCATTTCCGATAGATTCTGCGAAGCACTGCTCTTGCTAGGGCCAGTGTTAGCACCACTCCGGTTTGAGCCCTGTGAACTCCTACATGTCAGGGCGAAGCTGATATAGCCTCTCAAGGCTATCAGCATAGGTAGGAAAAAAAAGAGTGATATGTACTTTTTATTGCATTAGCTCGGCATTGTTTGCTGAAACCCATACACATCAGAAATTTGTTTAGTACCACTAAATTTGAAACATAATCTCTAAACAAAAATACCACATACCATTTTGTAACTATTTTTATTATCATACAATAATGTTGGTAAGGAAAGCGACATTACCTACAAAAAATGAAGAGAAACATTAAGTAGTTATTTTTAAAACGTGGCAAGTAAAGATTCATTTTTTTAAATATTTGGATGATCGAGCTCATGATCCACATAGTGTAAAGTGGTTACTGGAACCCATAGATATTTCATCTTATAGTTACGTTATTATCTCGATGGGCTTCGATAATCACTTACCACCAAGAGGCTGCGAGATGTGCCACTGTAGCAGAAAAATATTTTGTTTTAAATTTACTTCACAATTTAAATTAGATCAAGTTCAGAGCTTTTAAACGTGGCTATGACGTAGCCATCGACTGTTATGATCGAGTTTCCAACACGTCACAAAAGTTAACATTGTTGTGAATATTTGCGATTTAACTGAGCCAAGTTAACTTTCAAAACATCGTGTTCATTAATCAAAAGTTTGGCGCAGCGCTTTCTATCCTCCATCTCCTGCTCCGCCTCCGCCCACCCCTAGCAGGCGCTTGTCAACATAAATATAAAATGTATAAAGCAATTTTAGGTCTCTCAACATACTCGTTTAGGCTGGCAGCACTAAACCATCAATAATTTATTTTGACAAATGGCTGGTTTGGGCATTGATAATAGAAGCGCACCAGGGGGGCCGGGGGCCCTCCATCTGTCACTTGCGAAGTGAATAAACACAACTGTTCTAGACATTTATTTTATTACTTACTTAAAATTATGGATACTATTTGCCGTTTGTGTTGTTCCGATAAATTCGTCAACAATTATATATTTGACGAAAAGAATGCATGGTACCTTAAAATGGCGTTATTACCCGTTAAGGTATGTTATTATTAAATGGCATATTTAATTAATTTCGGACGTGATAACCTACCAAACAAATTTTTGTTTACCGTAGATTGACAAGAACGATCGGCTGCCCCAGAAGATTTGTGATCATTGCAGTCGTAAAGTTAACGAGTTTTATGAGTTTTGTAATGAAACTATTGTAGTGGAAAATAAGTAAGTGTTTATTTTTAAAACAGTTAACATACCAAAATATTTTGCCTATTTTTTATTTCTTATGCGAAGCACTTATATCAACTTTGTAAAGTAGAAGTGTCTTTGCCAAGCATGATAGGTACTAATGCAAGTACTTGTGATTTCAACTTTATGCATCACCACAGAAAATGATACCTATTTGTTACTTCCAAAGTATGTTGGTTGATAAAATAAATTTTACTAATGCAACATTTTAAACATTGTTTAACATAACAACAGTTGAGATGACACACAGATGTTGATGTTGATGACTATGTTGTGTGTAGATGCGTGCTGTTTTTGCTCCAGATTGTGGTTTATGATATTTGAATTAAGTAAACTGGTCTGTCCAGCTGAGTAATAGAAATTTAACTTTTTTTTCTTAAGTAGAAAACGGCGCTCACTTATTGAGAAACATTTTAGTCTGAGGTTTAGCACGATTCTTAGTATTTAGGGACATGACAAGAATTCTGATCCCTATATAAATTTTGGAACCAACTTGCACAATATTTAACTCTCAATTAAAATAAGTAAAATAATTGTTAATGTAAACATTTCAGGCTACAAGCTTTCTTAAAACAGCAAGGAACACACAACACAACTGTAGATCTCATACTTGGAAAACCGAAGACACCAATTCTACCTCCTAAAACATGTGAACAAAGTCATCAAATTGATGAAGGTATACCAGTAGATGAAGTTGTCAAAATCAAAGTTGAAACGCCAAAAGAAATAAAACAAGAAGATATTGAAGCAGAGGAGAACTATCACTACTCAGATGACAGTGATGATGTCTATTTAACAAATCTAAAAGCAAAGAAAAACGATATTGATGTAATAAGATTAAAAAACAGAGAGAAACAGGACGTAAAAAGTAATGGCGTGAAGAAAAATTCATGCGGAAACAAGTCTGAGCTTATGGAAGATTGGTCGATGATACTAAAGCAGTTCCCTGAGGGCCCTTATAATTTGGTCGACGAAACAGATGTACCAGTTAAACAGGAAGTCAAAGATGAAAACAGTGCAGATTTCGATGACTTGCCTAACTTAAAAGACAAATATCGTTGTTGTATTTGTCTAAAGAATTGCAAGTTTAAGAGTACATTGTTGAAGCACTATAAGTAAATATGTGTTTGTGTTTTGCTTATAATTGTACACTGTTTTGTTGGTTACAATTTAGCAGTTTAGTAAATGCAATGAATCAATTTGATAGATTTAGTCATAGTTTTTTTTATTGCTTAAATGGGTAGTGGAGCTCACAGAGTACCTACCTGGTGTTAAGTGGTAACAGGAGCTTATAGATATCAATGTGCAACGACATGCATGTGGAATTCATACACCAGCATGGTGTCATTGCTGAATATGATGTCAAGAAATGTAGGAACAGCTTAATGGTATAAATACATTAAATCTCCTTTTTGTTAAATTAGTCTAGAGAATATTCAATCTGGAAATCGTACCATCATCTTTTCTATTTGTATTGTGAAACAGTAATTTGCACTGTGAGATAGAGTTTGATCCTGAGCAATCAAGACTTTGAACCTCATATTTCCAACTGAGCAGGAGTCATGTTGTCTTGTCTAGCCTGCCATGTCTATACATTCGAAAGGCCATCAGTGTTTAATTTGATTTTATTAAGTCTCAAATGCAATTTTATTTCCTCAGAACACACGGAAAGGATATTCCAAAGACGAATAATCTTCAGGTGCCTCCAATACCTGATCAGAACCCATTAAAATGCACGAGATGTAGAAAGGTATGTTTTAATTAATACAATATGCTTAATTTACAACTTAAGTATATATTTTTATGTAAGTTTATTAAGATATAGCACCGTCCAGTTCGCTTATTCCTCTCCCTGCAAGGTTGCCAGGAAGAGATCGCTTACAGCGATAAGGCCGCCAATTTATATCACCGACTATTATTTGTTTTTTATATGCTTACTCTGTACATATTATTATGGTGTTAAATAAAGTGTTATATTATTATTAGCAAATACTAAACTAATTAGTATCGTCTTTTTCATTAACAATATAAATACATAGTCTCTGGGCTATTGAAATGATATTATATTGCTTAACTTAAGCCTTTGACCTCAAGGTATATCCGTATCTTCTCCACTGGTCGTGATTCCGGTCCGGTAGTAGATTCATTCGCGAAGCAGCTACTCTTGAGTTTGTTAGGTCTCCTTTTGAGGCATTCGGGTAGCTGTTAGCAAATCCCACCCATCCTGGCCTCCGGGGCCACCAGTAATCTCTCAAATATAAATAAAGAAAAAAGGTATATGCCATATGATTCGATTTTTGACATTCGTCGACAGCGTACGTATCTATCCATAAATTCGTTACGTTACCTAATAACTAAGTAATAATATGATTCCGTGAATGTGTAATCTGTACCGGAGACAAAAGGCGGTCTTCCTTAGTCACAAACCGTGTCGTTGACCCCGTGCACATCTGTAATAATTTGCTTTACATTGAGCGCAATCCAAAAACATCCAGAAATTAAACTTTTTAATTAATTACTTAAACATAGTATAAAATAGTCTTCACTACATAGTATAAAACAAAGTCGCTTTCTCTGTCTCTATATCCCTATGTATGCCTATATTAAATCTTTAAAACTACGCAACGGATTTTGATGCGTTTTTTTTAAATAGATAGAGTGATTGAAGAGGAAGGTTTATATGTATAATAACATCCATTAAATAGTGGAGAAATCAATAATAAATTACATTTTCCGAAGTGAAGCGAGGGCGAGTCGCTAGTAATATAATAAAAACAAAAAAAAATGTTAAATTTTACAGTCTGTAAAGAAAGATACGTGGGCGGAACATTGGCAGAACCATTGGAAACGCGACCATCGGCCCTACCGATGCGCGTTGTGCGACAAATCGTTCACGTCTTCACAACAAGTCATGGTGCACGGTAAGCCGTATATCATACCAGGTTCAAAGGAAATTGGATTATTTTTATTATCCATATATAATGTGAAAAAAAAAATACTCAGGCACCATATTCTCCTCTGTTTGTTAACCGATTATTTAATTATTTAATTTTGTTCTGTAGCCTTTTTTTTTTTTTTTTTTTTTTTTTTTTTTTTTTTTTTTTTTTTTTTTTTTTTTTTTTTTTTTTTTTTTTTTTTTTTTTTTTTTTTTTTTTTCTGTTCCTACCTAAGCTGAGAGCCTTGAGAGGCTATTTCAGCGTAACCCTAACTTTTGTAGGTGAGCTCACGGGGCTCAAACCTGATGACTGTTCTGTAGCTATTGAAGCTTTAGTCTTGCCATAAAAAAATAGATTTAAAGTTTTTTCTTAAAGACGAGCAACATTTTATCGTTTTCATTATCATCATCGTTCTCCTTTCCTTCTCCCAGTCACTTGGGGTTGGCGTAACATGTTTTCTCCATACTCCTCTATCATATACCATTTCTTCGCTCACTCCCATAATACGCATATCGTCTTTTTTCCTTTATTGCTTAGATGGGTGGACGAGCCCACAGCCCACCTGGTGGTAAGTGGTTCCTGGAGCCCATAGACATCTACAACGTAAATGCGCCACCCACCTTGAGATATAAGTTCTAAGGTTTCAGTATAGTCACAACGGCTGCCCCGCCCTTCAAACCGAAACACATTACTGCTTCACGGCAGAAATAGGCAGGGTGGTGGTACGAACCCGTACGGACTCACAAGAGGTCCTACCACCAGTAATTACGAAAATTTTAATTTTTCGGATTTCATCTTTATTACACGATGTTATTCCTTCACCGTGGAAGTCAATCGTGAAAATTTGTCGAGTACGTATTTCTTTAGAAAAATTGGTACCCGTCTGAGATCTGAACACCGGCGCATCGCTCAACACGAATGCGCCGGACGTCTTATCCGTTAGGTCACGATGACTTAATTTTTACAAGAGGTAGGTATTTTAACTTAACAATTACAGTCAAAATCTGTTATAACGACATCGAAGGGACTGCTCATATTCAGTCGTAAAAACCGATAGTCGTAACAACCGGTGATGTTTAATGTGTATCGTGCAAGTACAAACAAATCAATAGGGAATTATTGGAAAAACATATTTACATAATACGCGATTTTTCTTCAATATTAATTTGTTTTATTTTTCTTTGCGACATTTTGAAAGTTTCACGAATAACTCCACAAAGTTTTGGTGCGTTTTGTGTATAAATAAGTAATAAACTAACTGAAGAGATATGAAGAAACGGTCTTTGACTCTACTGCATGCACGTGTTTTGTTTCTAAGAATTAGAAAAGACCCTACACTAAACTAAATCCTATTGTTTTCTTTCCTGATTTTAATAGCCATTGAAGACAAATGTGGATACCTATTCAAATTGTTTACAATACAGCTTAGCCGGTCGTTCTAACAGATCTAATTCTCCGAAATATTAGTTAAATGTGGTCGTTTTATGAGGTATGTCGTTATAAGCAATGTCGTATAAAGCAATGTTTTTAATAAGGCGGTTATATAGCATTCAGCCGGGACCTTTGTTCTAGGTTGTTATAACCGGCATGTTGTTCTAAACGATGTCGCAGTAAACGGTTTTCATTGTATTGCAATATTGAAATTTCGTGTCCAGGTCTGTCGCACAGCCACAATCCAGTCGACGACGAGGCCATGCAGCTGAAGAAGCAAAATCGTTATGTTTGTGATTTTTGTCCTGAAGAATTTATGTACATGAGGTGAGACTTATTCATTGAAAATTTATTACCTAACATGTCTTAGAAATTATTTAGTGTATATGTAGATAAGGATTTACTATTATTTTTATTTCTTTTTCTCAAGAAAGAATGTACATATCACAAGATTCACTACGCTACCCTTGGTTGATTGGTAGAGAATGCCTTAGTCATTAACTCCGCCCCTCTGTTACTGTGCATAAAGTTCAATATATTACAAATAATAATTTTACAAATAATAAACTCTAGTGCTGAATTTCATGCTTCTTCATTCAAAAGTGATAAATCGTATATAAATTGTCTTTACTATAATATATATATTATAAATAAATTATAAATAAATATATATATTATATAAATCGCATATAAATTGTCTTTACTATAACTCGTCCGCCGACCAAGGCAATCATTTATTGCTTTGGTCGGCGGACGAGCTTACGGCCCATCTGATGGTGAGTGACTACCGTCGCCCACGGACGTCATCAATGTCAGGGACGCACCCAAGACGCTGCCTACCGTTAAATGTATATAGGTTCATATATTGTCGACACACAACAAACACAAGCTTGTTGTGCCGATGAGTAGGTTACATAAGATACGAAATTCATTCGGGTGTTTGTCTGTGCGCCTGTACAACAAAATCCCACAAGATGTTCAGAACCTACATATACATAGGTTTAAGAAAAGCTTACCATAAAGTCAATGATTAATCTAGAAGATTGCACAAAGTGGGAATGAGTTGCTCGCTCCGGGCATTTCAATATTCCAATAATTGTTACGTTATAATACTCATTGTAAAAAGGAATATTAAAAAAAATCTAATATAAAAAAAAGGCATGCTGGCTGAATTTGACTTCTCAGGACGGAGGCTAGTTTTTGTGAATTGGCGGTAGTTCTTTTTGACGTTCCAACAAGTGTGTACTTTCATTTATGTTGAACTAGTGGTCGCCCGGTAGTCGAAATTCGACTACAATTAATTGCAATCATAAGTTTGTACACTATTATGATTCTATCTTCAAAGACTATTATACTTCTATAATCACAAATTTCGCCAAGACTACACTATAGAAAAATATTAATAAAGACAAACAATATTTAATCTATTCTCAACGTCAGACAAAGACGTCAAGAACAAAAGTTTGACAATAGATAAATAGTATGCATGCGTGTGTGCGTCAAATACATGGTGGTGTGTTTAATGTTTTTTTTATTGATTTCATGTATTTTTTAGGCATAATTTTAAAAAATATTAACATTATGCACTCCTTTTCTACATACTCTATAAATGTGGGAAATTTCATACTCCTCCGTCCGCGCAATTTTCGCAAAAAGGGATACAAAGTTTTTCCTTTACGTATTAATTAATAAAAAGATAAAAAAAAAAGATTTTGATTTTGATTTTCGACGGTAACTGCCCCCTCCAACATGACACGATTGAGAAGAAGAAGTAGTTAGAAATATTTGTTCCGCATATTCCCAGGTGTCTGCAGGCCCACCGGACGAACGCGCATCCTGAATCCGCCTCGAAGGCCGTGACGCACCGCTGCTGGAAGTGCTCGCGGCAGTTCGCGCACCTCAACTCGCTGAGGCGGCACTTTATGACGCACACCGGCGAGAGGAACTTCCTGTGCAACGTGTGCGGGAAGGCGATGAGCTCGAGGGACCATCTCAAGCTTCACATAAACATACACACCGGCTACAAGCCAAACGTTTGTTCGTGAGTAAATAAATAAATAAATCTATATATATAAAAATGAATTGCTGTTCGTTAGTCTCGCTAAAACTCGAGAACGGCTGGACCGATTTGGCTAATTTTGGTCTTGAATTATTTGTGGAAGTCCAGAGAAGGTTTAAAAGGTAGATAAAAATGAAAATGCTCGGAATTAAATAGAAATAATAATTTTGTTTTTCCTTTGATGTGTCCCCCGTCGGATGGATTTCTTTTGTTTGTTTTAAGTTTATTTTATACAAAAGCTTAGGTTTTTTATTTATCGATTGAGGCACTACGAAGTCTGCCGGGTCAGCTAGTAAATAAATAAAAAGTATCTCTTTCGTAAGGGGAAACGCGACTACAGGGAGTTTCGATGAATAGCTTGTTTGTGATTCTATCTATTTTACGGGCGTTCTCCTCCATCCAATTTTGCAATAGGCAGCGGCTTGGCTCTGCCCCTGGCATTGCTGAAGTCCATGGGCGACGGTAACCACTCACCATCAAGTGGGCCGTATGCTAGTCTTCCTACAAAGGCAATAAAAAAAACCAACTGGACAGCAACCACAGTTATTATTTTAAATATGTACGTGAAGTTGAAATCATTATTTCGTGTAACCCAATTGTTTTTTTTTTAAGAGATATTATGACCTGGTAACTAAAACCTTTAAGTCATGTCTTATTTTACTTTATATTCTTAATTTTATGAAAAATGATAATATGGAGTGGAATGAAATGAAGATGATTAATTTGAGACATTAATCAACTGGGATGAAATTTAATGAAATGAGATGATATGGGATGAAATATAATCGCAGTAAAATGGTGCTCATTTACTGAGATTTTTTCAGTGGACTTTTTGGAGGAACCCGAGAAGTTACGTCCAGCAGCTTTGTTTCATTTTCCCACATTTGTGCACTTTCACAGACATTAAACAGTTAATAAACCACCATTATTACACAATTAAACCTGAAGAAACACTAAATAGACAAAATAAAACAAATCACACAACTTCACTCCTCGCGTTCCCGCCAAAAAGTCCGTAACCCAATTGCTGTTGAATTTTTAAGAATACCTCCTGCTTGTTTTTATTTTGTTTCTTTCAAAGAAATGTGTGTTGTGCACTTTGCATTGCTAAATACAAAAAAAATGTTATTGACATTTGTGTTTCTTTGCACCTACGAGGTATTAACAGTGTCTTGAGGTCGGGCTTGGTTTATGTGACTTGGTATTTAAGCTGCCTAAAACATGGCAAATGATGAAATGAATTTATTCAAGCCAAATATACCTTACAAGTGTTTTTTTTTTTTTTTTTTTTATTGCCCTTGTAGGCAGACGAGCATACGGCCCACCTGATGGTGAGTGGTTACCGTCGCCCATGGACTTCAGCAATGCCAGGGGCAGAGCCAAGCCGCTGCCTACCGTTTAATACTCTCCACAAGCCTCGTTTGAAGAAGGACATGTCATAGCGCTCGGGAAACACCGTGGAGGGGAGCTCATTCCATAGCCGGATGGTACGTGGCAAAAAAGACCTCTGGAAACGCACTGTGGATGACCGCAGTGGCTCCAGGTAGTATGGATGAACTCTACTCCGGTGGCGGGCGGTGCGATGGTAAAAACGAGATGCCGGTATCATCTCGAACAATTCCTCAGAGCACTCCCCATGGAACATACGGTACAAAATGCAGAGGGAACCGAAGTCCCTCCGCAGACCCAGAGGCTCCAAACGATCCTTGAGAATGGGATTATCGACAATCCGAACGGCCCTCCTCTGTATGGAGTCAAATGGAAGAAGCTGGTGTTTGGGAGCCCCGGCCCAGAGATGGGAGCAGTACTCCACGCGAGGCCGGACTTGTGCTTTAAATATAAAGAATTTTATAGTTAGTAGGGTGCGAATGAGATATCGTTCGTTTATTTAAGTAATGATGTACTGAACGACTTAAAATTGATCTCGCGTTTATTATTTAATTTTGTGCCTTTTTTTTTAAGTCTTATAGTGACGAATCTACGTTGATTTTTTCTTTCTTAATAATTTAATTCTTTTAATTCAGTAAATTATTTTAAGAATTCGTCTTTTCGCATTAAAAGTGTACAATTGCCAAAAATATTTGGAATTGAGTTAATAGGCGGAATCATTTGGTTATCACCAATGTTTTTCTCATAAATACTGTCAAAAGAGCGTAGATAGTTTTTTTTTTTTTTGTTTACCTATTTTTTTTTGTTTACCTATATTTTGACTACTATTAACCAAATTATTACATAATTTTATCTTACTTTAAAAGACAATGAAAGATAGATAGAAAAGATAATAAAATTTAACAGATAATGTAACTGGTAAAAAATAAAAAATTAATATTGGAAAGATGATTATTATTAAAAATATCACAATTCGACGCTTGAAAGGCAAACGTGACTAAGCGACAATGCGTGAACTTTACAGTAGACTAATTTAAGGTTGAAATACCTGAAAAAAATTCTATTTTAACGAATCTAGCTGTAGGATTGAAATGATTTTAATAGACCTAGAAATATATATTTTTTGCGCATCGAATATGGTTATTGCCTATCATTTATGTACAAAGCAGTTATTGTCGCTTAGCCACGTTTGCCTTTCAAGCGTCGAGTCATGTAAAACTTTTAAAACACTCTTCTGTAAAATTAGTAAGTTTTGAGATTATACAGTCTTAATGCGAGAAGACGATATCTTAAGGTGGGTGGCGCATTCACGTTGATAGATGTTTATGGGCTCCAGTAACCACTTAACACCAGGTGGGCTGTGAGTTCGTCCACCCATCTATGCATTGAAAAAAAGCGTCTTCAAACGTGTTGTTGTTAAAGGACGTGCGGTAAGGGCTTCGTCAAGAAGAGCAATCTGAAGCTGCACGAGCGCGTCCACAGCGGCGAGAAGCCGTACGTGTGCTCGCACTGCGGGAAGGCGTTCAGCCAGCGATCGACGCTCGTCATACACGAGAGGTGAGGTTTTTTTTTATTGCTGAGATGGGTGGACGAGCTCACAGTCCACATGGTGTTAAGTGGTTACTGGAGCCCATAGACATTTACTGCGTAAATGCGCCGCCCACCTTGAGATATAAGTTCTAAGATCTCAGTACAGTTACAACGGCTGCCCCGCCCTTCAAACCGAAACGCATTACTGCTTCACGACAGAAATAGGCAGGGTGGTGGTACCTACCCGCGCGGATTCACAAGAGGTCCTACCACCAGCCTAGCCCGGGACAGTAGCCCACCAACATATCTTATACTATACTAGCGCCCCGCCCTCATTTTTCGTTCCGGAAGCATTACATTTTATTATTGATAGCTGAATCCCGCGCTGTTATCCGCGGTTATTGTCGTACCGCGGGTGACGCCGCGGGGCGAAGCTAGACTAAAAAAACCTATATTACTCCTTATATCATCAGCTACCTATCAGTGAAAGTCTCGTCAAAACCGGTCCAGCCGTTCCAGAGATTAGCCGTAACAGACAGAAACACAGACAAAAATTGAAAAAAATGTTATTTTGGTGTGCTTATGTACCGTATATATATTCATATACATGTAGTAAAAAGCGGTTATTTCAATATTACAAACATACACTCCAATTTTATTTATATTTATAGATATAAGTCGTCGTGGCCTAAAGGATTAAGAGGTCCGGTGCATTCATGTCTAGCGATACAACAGTGTTCGAATCCCGCAGGCGGGTAAAAATTTTTCTAATGAAATACGTACTAAACAAACGTTCACGATTGACTTCCACGGTGAAGGAATAACATAAAAATTCCGCAATATTATAATTTGCGTAATTACTGGTGGTAGGACCTCTTGTGAGTCCGCGCGGGTAGGTACCACCGCCCCGCCTATTTCTGTCGTGAAGCAGTAATGCCTTTCGGTTTGAAGGGTGGGGCAGCCGTTGTGACTATACTTGATACCCTTTAGGCCAGGTATGGGTAAACTTTGACCAAAACTTTAGCGCGCAAATACGTTCGCGGGCCGCGTTTAAAAGTATTTATTTGGTGCATTTTAAAGTTGTGATAATATTTTTTTCGATATAATTGAGTCGTCTATTATCAAAGGTGGCAATCTGTGCATTTGGACAAAAAAATGTTATTGATATGTCAATACAGATTGATTTGAATATAATCGTCTCCGTCAAAGAATACGGTTCAAAACCTGCATTAAATAAAGGTTAATACTTAACCTGTTATTTATCTAAGATGTCGTTCAGAAGAGTTTTGTGACTGCCAATGGAATACAAAGTCAATAATTCGTTTTTCTGATTTACCAATAATTGTCCAAAAGTCACATTGCCAGCTTTGATAATAGTCGACTCAAACAGGGTGGCCCATAAGTCCTTTGATATGAAAAAAAATTATTAAAATAAAACTAATTACATTATGAATTAAATTTTTATTTACATAAAAAGCTTAAAAAACGGGAATTATTTTTTGAAAATAACATCTCCTAAATGTAATCCGTTGCGATCACGGCACTCTTGCAAACGACGTCTAAAATTGTCGATGACTGCGCGGCACGTCACTGCTGAAATGCTTGTCATTTCTCTGCGGATGTTTTCTTTTAGGGCCTCAATTGACCGCGGGTTTGTGTCGTATACTTTAGCCTTAAGGTAGCCCCACAAAAAAAAATCCATCGGGGTCAGATCTGGACTACGTGGAGGCCAGGAAATGTCTCCTCTCTTAGAGATAACTTTGCCAGGAAAAAGTTGACGGATAACGGGCATAGCAGTGTTAGAGGTGTGAGAAGTGGCCCCATCCTGTTGAAACCACGTCCTGGCATTAAAGCCTGAAAAGTTTTGCAATTCTGGTATGAAAAACTCTTCGATCATAGCCACATATCGCTTACGAGTTGACTGTGTCGGATTTTCGCGAATAGACTGTGTCACTGTGTCTATGTTTTGTTCCGTACGTGACGTCCTTGGGCGACCCAACCGCGGTTTATCTAACGTCGAACCGGTCTCCTCGAACTTAGCAACCCAGTTCTTAATCGTTTGAAGAGTTGGAGTGTCGTCAAAGTTGTGTAAACCTTTGTGTTCTCGAAATTTACGCCGCGCAACGGTTGCCGAATTGTCGTTTTTATAAAACTCGCGCACACAAAACGCACGGTCCGCTCCGGTAAAACGCTCCATCGCGATTAAATTCCCAGAAACCGAAGTTACTCCCCCCGCTTCCCCTGCACCGATCACGCGCGCCCTGTTCGTTTTATTCAAATTTTACTTTTCAAAGGACTTATGGGCCACCCTGTATATTAGACATGAAATTATACGACAACAAAAAAAAAAAAAATGGTACCTTATAATTAAATTGTTAAATTTGCAATTGTTACAAACTACAAAAGTTAAATACACCGAAATCAATGAGAATATTGAGCTTGAATTGGGAAACTAATCTATCGACATTTCATTATCAAATGGCTCACTCCTGTGAGTATAAATACTTAATGTAATATTTTTTTAATTGGGTTTTTTCAAAAGGTCTCGCGGACAGGTTCATATCTTACAGCGGGCCGGTTGTTGCCATATATAGTTTAGGCCATGATGATTTTTACATACCCGATCCTGTAGACCGAATGGTAATCAGTCGACGTCACCCAAAACACGTCATTACGGATCCTCCCGATCCATTAAAGGTGCTTTTAGGTATCACAAGCGCCGGTCACCGTCCTCGTCGAACCCGTCGCTTGCGACGAAGGGAGCGAATTAACCCACAGACACAGCCCACTGAGTTTTTCGCCGGATCTTCTCAGTGGGTCGCGTTTCCGATCCGGTGGTAGATTCTGCGAAGCACTGCTCTTGCTAGGGCCAGTGTTAGCATCACTCCGGTTAGAGCCCCGTGAGCTCACCTACACGTTAGGGCGAAGCTGAAAGCTGAATAGCCTCTCAAGTCTATCAGCATAGGTAGGAAAAAAAAGTGATTTTTTAATGAAATAATCATTTGTCGCAGATACCACAACGGTGTCCGTCCGTACGTGTGCGCGCTGTGCGGTCGCGGATTCGTCGCCAAGGGGCTGCTGTCCGTGCACCTCAAGAACACTTGCATATAGCAGACACCCCCGGACGTGTGAGTATTTAATATTCAGTTAGTTAGTTGGGACTTTAGGAGGCCTATACCCAAATAAGGGTAGGTTCCTATCGAAGAAAACGTTTGTATAGTCAAATCAAATTAACAACATAATAGAAAAAAAAAACTATATAAAAAGTGTAAAATTGTAAAACTTAGGTGATGGGAAATAAAAAGCTTTATTATTATAATAATAAATAATAATAGATAATAAATAAATAAATGAAATCAAAACGTTTTAACTATATGGTCATAATTTTCACCCAAAATATTTATATAAAAATAATCATAAATAGTTTTATTTTTTTCATTAAAATTCACGTTTCGATAAAGAAATCAGTTTTATTTTCTCATATAAATATGACCACTATTGCCCCCTCCCCATGCTGTTGAAACATCGTGTATTACATACTCAATTGTGTCATGATTTGAGCGAAGGAATCCAAGAAATAGTGGTTACGTAGATTTTTAATGTTTTCGACGCTTCCAGTTCTTTTTAGTTATTTTTTTATTGCTTAGATCGGTGGACGAGCTCACAGCCCACCTGGTGTTAAGTGGTTACTGGAGCCCATAGACATCTACAACGTAAATGCGCCATCCACCTTGAGATATAAGTTCTAAGGTCTCAAGTATAGTTACAAGGGCTGCTCCACCCTGCAAACCGAAACGCATTACTGCTTCACGGCAGAAATAGGCGGGGTGGTGGTACCTACCCGTGCGGATTCACAAAAGGTCCTACCACCAGTAAAAATTTGCAATTAGATAACTAAGCCAAAATTGGTCGATTACGAGTGATTTTAAGATGAAAATAATAAACGGGAAATCCAACCGTTCAAACTACAGAAGCTTTTGCTTTTAGCTATAGAATATAAAAAAAATCCTAAGTTGTCATTATAGATATATATAAGCCGATAGGTATAAGCCGTCATAATATTTAATTTTGAGTTTAACTTCTCATATTCTTTTCTTATTAAAAAAAACCTAAGTTGGCAACATTTAAATTAATTTATCGTTTTCCAGGTATGGCAACACCGGAGCACTCGAAAGCACAGACTGAAATAAAAATCTAATTATTTTTAAGTAACTAGTTAAATGTAATGAAAGAATTGTGATAGTTTTGCACTCGCTAGTAATAATGTGTTTTTTTTTAAATGTATAATAAATAAGAACCAATTATTTAACATCACACAGATATGGTAACTGAATTGTTATATTTTTACGTTTAAGTATTTTTTTTGGTTTTAATATTTAACTGAATCAAGTTAAAGAAATACAGGGGATATGATTAAATCACTGGAGTCGTATATCCGAAATTGAAAAATAAAAGTACCATTAAATTATTTTGTGATCAATACTCATTTGTGAATCCAATACTAATTATTATTATAATATAAGGACCTTACCAATGAAATTGCCGTTTAGTACTCAGGAAGCTAGGGATTTTTTTATAAATATTTTTTATTTCTGTCAATAAAAATAGATATATACATACCAGATGTACCCGCCCGCTTCGGTGGCCATTTAAAATTAACATTATTATTTCTCACCCCCACAAAGATTCTCATCATTAACGCCCCCGCAACTGGTGTAGGGAGTCCAACACTCATATAAATATTAGCCTATCCATTAAGTACATGTATTTTCTACACGGATACCAAGTTTCAAGTCAATCGGATGCATGGTTCAGTAGTTATAACGGAACATCCGTAAAAACCACTGTAGATCTATATATTAGTATAGATTGTATTGATGCATCTTTACCACTGCAGTGTTAATATATCAATGCCCTTCTTGAAGAAGTCAGGTGTAAGGTAACCAGCAGATTGTTCAAAGGCATTTTGTAATGCCTCTGTGGTTTTGAATTTGTTTTTCGAAATTCCTGTTCCATAGTTATACATATTTTTACTGTGTCCATATTGATGAAAAAGATACAAATGTACATTAATGTACATATAAACAAACAAATGAATTAATTTGAAAATAGAAATCTATATTTTTTAAATAAAAAATAATTCGATTTTAGAATTTATTACCGGCCACACATAGTTTATGTAACTTCAAATGGCCAGTATTGGAACACGGCAACGTCTGATTCGCTGGTAGATTCTGCGAAGCACTGCTCTTGCTAAGGCTAGTGTTAGCAAATTCTCTCAGGTTGAGCCCGAGCTGTAATAGTCCCTTAGACTATCAGCGAATAATGAAGGGGGAAAAACCTACTATCATAGATAAAGATCTAATATAGAGCTTAGCGAATTAACCCATAGACACAGCCCACTGAGTTTCTCGCCGGATCTTCTCAATGGGTCGCGTTTCCGATCCGGTGGTAGATTCTGCGAAGCACTGCTCTTGCTAGGGCCAGTGTTAGCAACGCCTCCTGGTTTGAGTCCCGTGAGCTCACCTACACGTTAGGGCGAAGCTGATATAGCCTCTCAAGGCTATCAGCATAGGTAAGAAAAAAAAAGTAAATATACATTTTCGTTAGTGTGTGTACCCTACGGAGCGGTCAGTAGCGAGTGAACCGAGTGAGTTTTATCCCGTTTCGGTTTCAGACGAGATCCTACAAATTTTGAGTCTTAATACCTTGTGTTAAGTAGTGATGTTATTTGAAGAAAATTGGGCGAAGCCAAAACTTTGAATTCTATTACTTGGTAATATTGATTTTTACGCCATCTATTAAAAAGGAGTGTGAACTCTGAGAACGAATATTTTTAAATTTCGAACAGTTATGAATTTTGCCTTATTGAATTAACTATATATTTAAAGAGATTAGTTTTATATTTTAAAGTTAAAATTTAAAAAAATCATGGGTCCATTTCTATATGGGCTAATCTTGTCGGCTTATTTTCTGTTTATTACATTTTTTTGGGATTAGGACCATTTGGACATTTGAGACCTATTCGGTAGTCTATGGACAACAGTAATTGTCTGTCTACAAGACTATATTTTTTATATACATTTTTTTTTATTGCTTAGACGTATGGACGAGCTCACAGCCCACCTGGTGTTAAGTGGTTACTGAAGCCCATAGACATCTACAACGTAAATGCGCCACACACCTTGAAGTATAAGTTCTAAGGTCTCAGTATAGTCACAACGGCTGCCCCACCCTTCAAACGAAACGCATTACTGCTTCACGGCAGAAATAAGCGGGGCGGTGTACCTACCCGTGCAGACTCACAAGGACTCACATATTTCTCTGGTCAAAGATTCCTAGCCTATCATATACTTATTCTGTTCCAGGTGGCAGCACAAACTTTTGGAACAAAATACAGGGTGTCCTGCAATAATTAAGTTTGACCAAATATCAAAAGATACTGAATTTGTGTTTTTTATATTTATTTTTTATTTGCTTGCTACTTAGATGGGTTTACCGGAGCCTATAGACATCAACAACATAAATGCTGTCATCCACTTTGAGACATGGATTTTTAGTCTCTTATTTATATACAGTACAATGATTGGTCTACCCTTCAAACCGAAACTGCTTCGCTGAATCTACCACCGGATTGGAAACGCGACCTACAGAAGATCCGGCGAGAAACTCAGTGGGTTGGGTTTATTGGCTAGGTTGCACGTCAAGGTCTTCGTAGAATTGACGAGTTCGACGAGAATGGTGACGTCAGTAACACAAGGAAGTAATCGCATTAATATAGGTCTTACGAATTGAGTGCGCTCACTGAATAAGTTTGTCTCAGCCAAATATGCGCTGACCCTATCTTATCGTTTTCATTAAGCCCTCTTTGTTACGGGATGAACACCCTGTATCTTCTAGGTCGAGGTTACGTTAGTGATAACTTGTAATCGCCTTTATCTCACAAAAATGTATGTCCGTAAACCAAGTTCAACGCACGAAGGAGTAAACATTATTTGTAAAAATCAAATTAATATAAAAAATACATATTGTAAAAATCCTAATAACTTTCTGTGGCTTTCGGAAGTCCGAAGCTAATAAGATAATTAAGTCGTTAGGTTTGAGCCCCGCGAGCTCACCTACTAGTTCGGTGAATCTAGAATAACCCTTCGAGGTTACTAGAATAGAAAGGAAAAAAATTATTTAAGTAAAATAATAATAAGAGTAGTTCTTTTTCCGCTACGCCAATGCTGCCAATAGTCTCGGGCTTTTGAGGAGCTGCGCCGCCGCCGCTATTCCGCTCCGAATTTGTCGGCATATCAAACAGTTTCTTTTGCATTTACAATAAAGGTAAGTAACATTTGACGTAATAAGCTTGAAATTTCCAGAGATCTTTGAGACTTATGCACCTACTAATATGGAGGCATTTTTCTCGTACTCATTTAAATTAAATAAAGTTTCTATCTCGTTCTGATGCGTTTAACTGAATGGCCGGATTCTTGTACAAATTCTTATAGCCACATTTCGGCTTGAAATACCCTTTGTGAAACATCCTATGGCGGCACACAATTCATCACGTATTTTCAATTGATGACGTTTATTAAAAAATGATGTGTTGGTCGAGATGAGTTAAATTTGATTTTAAAAGAAGAGACTAATAGTCCGACACATTTTGAGTGGAAAAGATAAGTAAATTTTTTACTTATCTTGTTTCGTTTTGATTTTGGACTTGTGTCAGAAGTTATCAGTATCAATTCTTCTTTTAATAAATAAAGGTTAATTGATCACCTTTCAATTATTTTAGTAATATATTTTGAAGTCTACTAATCAATGGATCTAACATTGGGTGTAATAAAAATCAATCAACAAAATAGATTTACGCATTTTTTTATTGCTTAGATTAGTGGACGAGCTCACAGCCCACCTGGTGTCAAGTGGTTACTGAAGCCCATAGACATCTACAACGTAAATGCGACACCCATCTTGAGATATAAGTTCTAAGGTCTCAGTATAGTTACAACGGCTGTCCCACCCTTCAAACCGAAACGCATAACTGCTTCACGGCAGAAATAGGCAGGGTGGTGGTACCTACCCGTGCGGACTCACAAGAGGTCCTACCACCAGTAAAAATTTGTTGGGTGTTCGGCAGTATTGCGAGTTCGCACAGATAGTTTTCACGACGGTCGTTTTTACAAAACAGCTTAGATCAGACGCTACTCTTAAGTTTCAAGGTAGCTACACAGTAGCCTAGTGGGCTCTGAAAAGCATTGAACCTTGAACATCGGGTCGTGTCAGGTCAATGTCCTGAATGTCAGGGCGAAATCTTTATCGTTGTGGGTTGACGGAACCCCAAAAAGAGAAACTGACTTCTCGATACATCAGATTTCAGTATTCAGATAAAAATACCATCAATAATTTTAAAGAAAATTAAATCTTATCTTATACCTTTAAACGAGCAATTCTTGTATATTAATATATACCTATATAATCTGACTCTCTGAAACGGTTCCAACGATTTTCATAAAATTTAGTATACAGGGGATTTCGGGGGCGATAAATCGATCTAGCTACGATTTATTTTCGAAAATGTTGTTTTATTCGTGTTTTCAATAATCAACTCTTCCCGACATCTATTGGCGAATAATAATACTATTTTTCTTAATTGAGGGCAACTAACCGCTTTAAAGACACAACAAGATGGCGTTATCAAAAAAAAAACCGGGCTAAGCTCGGTCATCATCTAGTAAATACTAAAGCGATAATGTTAAGGTTCATTTTTATTTGCCCCGTCTTGTCTAATATGATCCTGACGTTCAGATGAGATAAACTGTTATCGCGGCAAGTGCGGACGTTAGTGTAGCTGTCAATTATGTCATGTCTGATAGCCAATGACTATATTTATGTATCCTACAATCAAAATATGTGTATGAAATTAGATAAGCATTACAACGAAAAAAATCTTACTGTTTCTATAATTTTTTGCCTAGATCTTTTTTTTATTGCTTATATGGAGGGACGAGCTCTCAGTCCACCTGGTGTTAAGTGGTCACTGGAGCCCATAGACATCTACGACGTAAATGCGGGACCCACCTTGAGATATAAGTTCTAAGGTCTCAGTATAGTTACAACGGCTGCCCCACCCTTCAAAAGATTTTTATTACACGATGTCAATCGCGAAAATTTGTTAAGTACTTTGGGCCACGACGACTTCGAATCGGTATAGGCATTAATTATCCATTTTAAAACAGCTAAACATCGAAAAAAGGTTCTGTGCCATCTGCCTGGATCGTGCTATGGGCTTCTTCGGACACATCATGCGGTCTCCCAGACATGAATTAGAGAATGAGTGCGCCGTGGGCAGAACACTAGCCAGATGGTCAGATCTGGTTAAGAAAGCGGTTGATGGTAATCTATATATACGATGCGATCCGTGCCACCCATGACCGAACACTATGGAGGAAAATCACATGTGGTCGCGATCCTCGGCAGTGAGGAAACGATGAAGAAGAAGAATTGGTTACCGGCGCCCACTTGAAGCCAGTTGAGTCTAGTGTCTCATTTGAGATGTACTTATAACGGTTAATGACCTCGAGAAATGGCTTTTAGGTACATTTTAGTATTAATTGAGGTCCCACCGTCTTGCCTATTTCTGCCGCGAAGCAGTAATGCGTTTCGGCTTGAGCAGCGAGACAGCTGGGCTCCGTTGACGACTTAAATACTATGTGATCGGTGACTCCTCTGCTCTGCTTTTTTTTTATTGCTTAGAGGGGTGGACGAGCTCACAGCCCACCTGGTGTTAAATGGTTACCGGAGCCCATAGACATTTACAACGTAAACGCGCCACCCACCTTGAGATATAACTTCTAAGGTTCAAACCGAAACGCATTACTGCTTCACGGCAGAAATAGGCAGGGCGGTGGTACCTGTCCGTGCGGACTCACAAGAGGTTATTCGATATGAATGGCTTACAAATCTGCCAATAGCTTCGAAAACCGGCATATAAAGAAGCATGAGTATTTATTTAAATAAAATTCCATCAAGAGGATAATTTACCGCGTAGAAATGTACTTCAATTCATTTTCTATTTTCAAAGGAGGCGTTATCAAATATATTGAATTATTTAAGCAGCTTACTAAAATTCTTTGAGGCAAAAAGTACTAAGTCTTGCACCAGGTGAAGAGATTGCATAATTTAATGCTGTCACGTTTCGTCACAATCGCAAATGTAATTTGTCAATAGACCGCATACAATTATTTGCAGTTCAATAACCCTCAGACACAGCCCACTGAGTTTCTCGCCGGATCTTCTCAGCGGGTCGCGTTTCCGATCCGGTGGTAGATTCGGCGAAGCACGGCTCTTGCTGGGGTTCATGTTAGCAACGTCGTCAGGTTTAAGCCCCGTGAGCTCACCTACTAGTTAAGGTTACGCTGATATGGCCTCACAAGGCTATAAGCTTAGGTAAGAAAAAAAAAATGCAATTCAAATCGCTTTAATGTTATCTCAAGACTCAAATAAACAATAAAACGTATATCAAACAATAAAACGCTTATAACAACGATAACGATAGAATGTTTCAGTATTATTTTATTATGGTAAAGAAGAAATTAATGTCATCGTTGACAATAAAATAATATAGTTGGATTGGAACGTTTTATTGGCTCCCCCTCGTTGACGTGAGAAAATGGTGCTCTTTTTGGCATAGATCACCAAGCGTACTGGTGGTAGGAGCTCTTGAGTCCGCGCGGGTAGGTAACACCGCCCTGCCTATTTCTGCCGTAAAGCTGTAATACGTTTCAGTTTGAAAGGCGGGGCAGCCGTTGTAACTATACTTGAGAACTTAGAACTTATATCTCAAGGTGGGTGGTGCATTTACGTTATAGATGTCTATGGGCTCCAGTAACCACTTAACACAAGGTGGGATGTGAGCTCGTCCACCCATCTAAGAAATAAAAAATAAATCGCATTATCATCAGGACCCAAACTAGGATCCACTGTACAATGACAATCAGAGACTGATATACATACAAATATTAGAAATACTGAAACAAAGCAAACATTACTAAGTACTGTGCCATCGACTATATAGATTTGATCTTAGCCTCTTGCGGTAGAAACAAATTTCATATGGTCAAACAAACCGCGTATAATTGAAATATCTTTAGCCTATACGTACTTAACATCTAATATTATATAGATTTTGAGATGATACTATCATCTCGTTTTTACTATCGCAACGCCGGCCACCGGAGTAGAGTTCGTCCGTACTACTTGAAGTCACTGCATTCCATGCGACGCGACGGTTATCACTCAGCTTCAGAAAGGCCGTATGCTCGTCTGCCTACACAGGCAATAAAAAAAACAAATAAGATTTTAACTTAACGCCTCAAAGGGGATAGCCGATAACTTAAAACCAGCTGGATTGTGAGCTTTAAGCTCGTCTACAGATCTGCACTCATTAGAAACCACATTTACAATGTATTAGTTGCAAATATATCCCTACTCACTGAGTTTCTCGCCGGATCTTCTCAGTGGGTCGCGATTCCGATCCGATGGTAGATTCCGCGAAGCTCTTGCTAGTTCTAGTGTTAGCAGATTGTCTCAGTTTGAGCCCGTGAGCTCACCTACCCGTCCGAGCCTAGCTGGAATAGCCCCTTTACTTCACAGCGAATAGGCAGGGAAAAAAATAACTCCAAGTACTGATATAGAGATACAATCTGTCGGCGGGTGTGTCGTCCGGCCCTCGGATAGCCACAATCAATATAACAACTACACAACATGCATGGAAAACAACGTAATCTTTCACGGTTCGACGTAGCTATACGACTTCGTTATCAGAAGGGTCTTAACGCCAATGTTTCGAGCCAAANTTCACAGCGAATAGGCAGGGAAAAAAATAACTCCAAGTACTGATATAGAGATACAATCTGTCGGCGGGTGTGTCGTCCGGCCCTCGGATAGCCACAATCAATATAACAACTACACAACATGCATGGAAAACAACGTAATCTTTCACGGTTCGACGTAGCTATACGACTTCGTTATCAGAAGGGTCTTAACGCCAATGTTTCGAGCCAAACCATTGTGTTTGGTATCAGTCTGGGAGCGCGCGCGATCTGAGTCGGTCGTCACTAGACATTCAGTAAGCTTCAGGAGAGAGAGCACGCGTAACGGCGCATTCGATTCTCATTATTTAATCGGCCTTCGCGCTATTTTCTCATCGTTGTTTTTACGCTAGCTCATCAGAGAACCACGTGTGAGTATCTATGTGCATAGTTAAATAATACATGATCTTGAAAACTGTCGTTACAACAACAGGAATTTTTAACAAGTTCTTCTTACATTTTCACATTTCTAAACCGCATTAACTATGAAAAACTATTTAATATATGATTCTAGTTTTTTAATTCAGACAACGGTAGTTTGTGAAATCAATTTTATCGTAATATAAAACGTTAGAAGAAAGCGACTTCAACAAAATAAAAAAGATCAATGTGATCGAAATCAATTAAATATACATTATTATGGAAAATTAAGAAACTTGCAAGAAGTTGATGATTTGAAATAAGACCACATGAGAAGTTTTGAAAAAAAAAAAAGTATCATAATTTTTTCACCCAGAAAAAAGCTAGGTAATAAACAAGCACATAAAAAGTACACAAAAATAAAGTTAAATTGATAAGCTCCTTCTTTTCGGTCGGCTAAAATAGGAATAGTCTTTTTATCATGCTCATTTTTTTAAATTCAAATAATGGGTAATTACTATTTTTAAAAAACTTGTTCACTCAAAAATTTGATTCAAGCAACATTGTCTCGTAAAAATTTTGCAGCGCATTGACAGAATTAGTATAATAAAAAAATTAAAATCCACTTTAGGGATTAGAGAAGAGCTTAAGAAATATTTATTTAAATTTTTTTCCATTTTACATAATATTACTTTATCTTACTTATCATCCCAGTTTCCAGTGTTGTGGTAAGTTAGTAGAAGTTTGTTATTAGTAATGAACAATGACGTCATTGTTCACGTTCGACGTTTTGTTTAAAAGCTCGCATTGCGGGAAACAGACATACGTTCGCCTTCTACATTTAACAAGAAGAAACTGCAACGAATGAATATTTTATTCATTTACCTTATTAATTGACATTATTCACTAAAATTAAAATAAATACAACATAGGTATGATAATTCTCTTATTTTACAACTTCTTAAAAGTCTTGGATTAGGATTGTTAAGCAATGTTGGAAAATTTAAAATATCTGTAGCTTAACATCACAATATCCTCAGCATATATCGATATAAACAACATAAAATGTTGTCAACACGATAGTATTATCAAATTGCGTTATTACCTTTAAAACTATAAACATCAGAAGTTAATTTAATTCTTATCAATCTATACTTCTATACTAATATTATAAAGAGGAAAGATTTGTTTGTTTTTTTTTTTTTTTTTTTATTGCCCTTGTAGGCAGACGAGCATACGGCCCACCTCATGGTGAGTGGTTACCGTCGCCCATGGACTTCAGCAATGCCAGGGGCATTCTACTAACTTACCACAACACTGGAAACTGGGATGATAAGTAAGATAAAGTAATATTATGTAAAATCGAAAAAAATAAAATAAATATTTCTTAAGCTCTTCTCTAATCCCTAAAGTGGATTTTAATTTTTTTATTATACTAATTCTGTCAATGCGCTGCAAAATTGTATTGAATAGGCTCCGAAACTACTGAACCGATTTAAAAAATTCTTTCACTGTTGGAAAGCTACGCTATCCCCAGGTGACACAGACTATATTTATTATATTTTCAAAAAAATTAAGGATCCCCTACTGAAACTTCAGCAGGGGACTGAAACTTCAATGATGTAACCCAATGTGTAAACAAATTACCTAAAATTATTTACATCGCGTGCGCTATTTCCCAAGCGAAGCCGGGGCGGGCCGCTAGTGTAAAAATAAAATCGAGTTTCTTCGGGTGTTCGCGAATAATCAGACAATTAAACCGGTCATTGCGCAGCTAATCCGATGAATTGAGCTCAATTAATGTTACGTTTATCTTTGGTACTTATAAACTGTTACTTTAGTTTTGTTACTATTGGTGCAAACGGAACTTTTTAATTATTACCCATCGATATATGTTATTACCCCAAAATATTTTTGTGTAAGTTGATACTACCCCATGGCGAAGAAATAAAAAAAAAAACGAAATCGCTTCCTTTTAGCACCTTTCATATTATAGCCCCCATGATAATTTGAAATCACAACGATTCTAAAGAAGTTTCACTTCAATATATACTTACTTTTTAGTCACAAAAGTTTCATTTTTACCTCCTAAAATTTCACTTTACCCCATTTGGGATAATTTACCCCGTTTCCCCGACCGCTGGTGTAAAGTGTAATCGAAGGTACAACTAACTATCTTGCTAATTTCGGCCGTGAAGCGCGAATAGTTCTGCTTTATTTAGAAAATAGAATGGAATATCACCACCCGATTTCTCCCCGGGGGTGTCGTAAAAGGCGAGGTTCACTTGAGAATTGATAGCTGCGTTCTCTGAGTTACTATAGAAATCTGCGATCGCCAATCAGCATTTACTGGTTGTAGAATGTGTGGTTTTCCCGCACGGATGGATACCGACATCTTTCTACCTGGGACGGTCTTCATACAATGCAATTGAACCTTCGACTTTGTGTCTTAAGCTGACTGTATTAACGTTGTGATGTACACGGCAGAAATAGGCGGGGTGGTGATATCTAACCGTGCGGACTCACAAGATTGCGGACCACCAATTTCTCAATGAAACCGTTTTTTTTGTTTCGACATGCCGTAAATTCACAATTTGATTTGATAAGGAAGGATTGTGCGTTATCGTGCGGAATGTTAGTACATCGCGATATGCAGCGTGTCTTCGTAAATGCGTAGGAATTGTCAATCAATCATAGTTGTGGGGTAAAAAAATATATTGGTTGTCTGTAAAGTCCGTTTACAGACGATAGTTTAACTTGATAACGTCATAAAGAGACATCGATGAAAAATTGCATACGTTTATGAATTGAATTGAATTAATATGACTGAATTATCATTATTTTGTATAATAAAAAGCTGTTACTTGAAAAATACCGCTCCCGATCCTGCGGACAGATTGGAAAGCAGTCGACGTCGCCCAAAACACGTCATTTCGGATCCTCCTGATCCACTAACGGTGCTTTTAGGTACCACAAGCACCGGTCATCGTTCTCGTCGAACCCGTCGCTTGCAACGAAGAGCTCGACGAGTAAACTAACTCACAGACACAGCCCACTGAGTTTCTCGCCGGATCTTCTCAGTGGGTGGCGTTTCCGATCCGGTGGTAGATTCTGTGAAGCACGGCTCTTGCTAGGATTCATGTTAGCAAAGTCGTCAGATTTGAGCCCCGTAAGCTCACTTACTAATTAAGGTTGCGCTGAAATAGCCTCTCAGGGCTCTCAGCTTAGGTAGGAAAAAAAAGAAAGAAAAATACAATTTTTTCGATTAATTAACGCTTGGGCCGATCGTGCCTCTCTATAGCTTGTTCAGCGTTGTTGCTTGCAAGCTTGGGCTCAGGCGGAACGTGACACTTTTTCGTGCGCGCAACCGGCGTTCATTGATTTTTGAGACGTTATCACGTGAAAATTTTTTTTTCCCGAAAAATGAATTTTTTCAATACGAAATTGGTATTATTGAATTTATGTATTTTAAAACGTGACTTGAAAATGTTTAATAACAATTATATTGTAACATAACAAAATTTAACGAGAGCTTTCTCTCGTGTTAATCTAGAAAAAATATTTCAGAAATATTTAGTATATTTTTTCAATGAATATTGGTACTCTATATCCTTTTCTGTGCCCTCGACAATGTCCATGAACATTTTTATGATAATCGCTTGTCGAATTAAGACTTGAAAGCGTAATAAATGACTTTTTGATTGTGATTACCCACAGCGATTTATTTACTTTAAAGACCGTGAAACTCGTCAGAATTTAGTAGATCAATGTGATGCATAACAACTAGTGCGGTCAGTCGTGGGTCAGTCGCGACGTTAAATAAATTGTCATTCAATTGAGTGATGTGAGCTGTATTGCCATCAATGAATTTTAAATTAAAGATGTCCTATTTCGTATTAAAGACGGAAGAGTATGTCTCCGCTGGACGTAGCTTCTCAGGATCCTCCAAAAATTCCACTGTAAAATGACCGCCATTTTACTGAGATTACATTTCTTCACATATCATCTCATTTGTAAATTTAATCCGTCATTAATCATTTATGTTATGTCGCGATTAGTTTCCTTCGTTTTATTATTATTCATAAACTGTAAATAATTAAAATGACGAATTGTAATAATTTTATTACTTGACGCTGGCTAATGCACAAACCGTGCTGGAGCCAAAAATAATAAAGAAGAAGAATACTTGATGAGAGATTGTGAATGCAGGCCAACTCGAGAAATGAGGTTGAAGCTTCAACTGTTTTATATAGGCAGAACTAGACGGTGGTACCTACCCGAGCGGGTTCACAACACGTCCTACGCATCGCACCATACTGGAGATGCGATTCTTAATAATTAGCTAAGAGGGACGTACCCTGTTAAGATGTACTATGATAATAAACGTACTATAAATAGCAGCCGTGTTTTGTTACCGACAAAAATCTATCGATAAAGCCCAAGTCACCACTTGTATTCTGATTAATTGACAAGCAATGCGTGCGTTCAGATAATCAGTTTGCGGCCATTGCCAAAGTGTGCGTCGGTAAGTTTAGTTTCTGCTTCCAACTAGAAATGGTCGCGAGGGATTGACTAAATAATAGTTATTATATGAATTTAACCTATATTCATTTCTGTTACGCTAACCAATCAAAAATACCGTTTAAACACAGTGTTGCTAAGATGTTAGATTTGAAATCACACGAATTAATTGATCGAAGATAGAAAACAATTAAAGTAAATATATCGTCTTCTCGCATTAAAACTCTATAATCTCAAAACTTACTAAATTTTACAGGAGAGTGTTTTAAAGGTTTAATGATATTTTAAATAATAATCATCTTTGCAACATTTATTTTTTAATTTTTACCAGTTACATTATCTGTCTTTTAAAGTAAGATAAAATTATGTATTAATTTTGTTAATAGTACCTAGTCAAACAATAGGTAAACAAAAAAAAACAACTAAATTTAAACTAAGCTCTTATGACAGTATTTATGAGAAAAATACTGGTGATGCCAAATGATTCCGC